TGGGGTAATCGGGATGGGTGTGTCAGAGTCGGTGCGGTTGGCGCAGGATAGAGCAGGGTTTAGAGCTGTTGTGCATAGGGTCGCTATGAGTCGGAAAAGACTCGATGGCACATAACAACAACAACAACATGTACAACAGCCTTAAACTCTGCCTGATCCTGTGCCAATCTCACCATCTCCAACACACCTACCCCCATTACCCCCAGTCAATGAATCAAGCCACTTCATAGAGGTCCTTCCCCTCCTGCGCTGTCCCTCCACCCTCCTAAGAATGACATCCCTCCCAAGGACTGGTCCCTCCTTGCAACATGTCCAAAGTATGTCAGACAAAGCTTCAGAATCCCTGCCCCCAAGGAGCAGCTCAGCTTCACCCTCTGTAGGACAAACCTGTTCGTTTTCTTAGCAGTTATGGTATAATAGAATACATTGCATTTTCTTTTTATAATAAATTACTATATACATCAATGTATCTTTAAACGCTTTCTACTTTTAATGACATTGATAGCTTTCTTCACCTTCTTTACAACCCAGTTTTATTCTGTAATGAAGTTAAACCTATAATTACTTTTTTTTTTGAAAGTTCATTTTCTTGGAACTTTCTCTGTGCTTATCTTCCTCTTGAAGCTAGTGCGAGTAGGAATTATCTAGATAGAAATTCAAGATGTTGACTTCCTACTTTCAGCAATCAATCTTCTGCTATCCTGGTTACTAATTCAATCTTTACTTATAAATTGAGATAACATGCTAAAATAAATTATTGGAAAATAATACAACAAATTCTAGTCTTAAGTACAGTTAAGAAGGGGATTGTTTTAGGAACGCTGATTCCAACATAGAAAACTTTAGATTTGAAATTGGAGAAGATAACAAGAAGAAATGCTCACTGAGTTCATCCTTGAAACATCTTTATTGGATATCTGAAAACTGGCTGTCACAGCCCCTTTTGGTTGCAGCCAGCTCCTTCCACAGATGGGAATTGTTGGAATACTTGAAGCAACATTCAACAGTGGCTAACCATTTAGCAAAGAGACAGTAATCCACAGGCTTCTTGAACTCCACTTGCCTCTCATCAGTAAAATCAGTGTATATAGAGAGACAGCATAATTTAAATATGTTATAAAATAATTACTTAGTGCCATCAGTGTAGTCCTAGAATATAAATCAAGTGGCCATTTACATACACCGGCAACCTCAGCATCTGTCAGAGCTCTAGGGTAGAGAACTTTTATTTCTGATCTCTCTACCTATTATGCTTAATAAGAAGGTAAGTTATTCAGCCTAATTATTCTGTTAGGAACTACAATGAAATATTTCAAATCCTGGGCTGTCGGCAAGCTTCACATTGGGATGGTACACATTCTGGATACTTATCAGTGAATGTTGTCCTTCATAAAAATGTCACGTCTTCTCATCTCACTTCCTTCCTTAGAGATGAGTCTATACATTTAGCCTTCTCCAAACATATTCTCACTTTCTGGCCAATATATATGAATGAGTGACATGTGGTTCTGTCTATGAACATAGAATCTATCTCATTATTCCCTAGAGAGACTTCCTCTTTGTAGATGCTCCATACTTATTTATGAAATTTGTCCATGAAAATTTGGTTATTTTAGAAGTTCCTGGGCTAGCTACCAAAAAGAAGTCATTTATTCACTTTCAATAACATTCTCCCTATTATCTCAAAAGACTAAGGGAAAATGTAAATAATGGGACGCTATTATGTGCCATGAAAATCCTCTTAATATTTCTTCTATAAAGTTTGTTCAATCTCCTCAAGTATGATTTGCATCCCTAAAAGCTCACTGGAGGGTCAGCTATGTGTCGGTTTGGACTGGACCATACATAACAATAACAGCAATCAAGTCTGTGAGTTTTCTTGTCTGCAGTTTTACCAAGGAGGAAATTGAGTTTGAAATCGAGTTAAGTGTCCACCTTATAGGGCTCCTTAGGAAGGAAATCAGAATCAAAATTCATTCTTTTCAGTTCTCAACCCATGTTTTCTTTCTACATATAAATAATTCTCACATCTATTCTATAAAAAGGGGGTTTAGAAAAATAAGATGTACAAACTCTAGACATTTTGATAAAAAATATTTCCATATGATGAAACATAAGAGTTTAAGAGTGAGAAACTCAGTCTTCATGACTTATTATGATCATCTAATAAGGGAGAACTGGTGGCCCAGTGGTAAGAAACTGTGCTGCAATTCAAAAGGCATAATGTTCTAATTCATCAGCTACTCTGCGGATAACGGTCAGTTATGGGTCGGTTCTGACTTGATGGTAAATAACAACAATTCATCTAAGCTTATTCTTTGGTTTGGTTTGGTTTGGTTTGGTTTGGTTTGGTTTTTATCTTAGTATAATATTGTTAGGTGACATTGAATAGGCTCCAAAGTCTAGTGACCCTGTGACAGTATGTACAATGGAACAAAGCACTCCCTGCTCCTATGCCATCCTCTATCTCTGCAGTGTCTACAGGGCTCAAGTTCACTATTGCAGCCACTGTGTTCATCCAGCTCATTGAAGATCTTTTTTTATCACTCTCTGCTTTACCAACCATAGTTTCCTTCTTTAGGGTATGGCATTCTCCTGATAACATTTCCAAAGTGTGTGAGACAAGATTCGCCACTCTGGCTACATTTCTTCCAAGGTAGATTTGTTTGTTCTTTTGACAGTTTATTCAATATTCTTCATCAACATCACAATTCAAAGGCATAAATTTTTCTTCAGTCTTCCTTATTCATCATCCACCTCGCATAGACAGTGATTGAAAGTGCCATATGGTGGTATTGTTATGATAATCAAAAACAATTCAAGTCTGTGATGTCAAATTAGTATTTACTCCTGAGCTAGAATCTATCTAATTGCTACCTGGAGGATTATATTGAAAAAGATGATGCGGGAATATCGAGTAAAGGGTGTTGCAATCAGTGACTAGTTTCAGGGATGGGAAGGACAAATGTGATCTGAGATAATGGTGGACAGTTAAAACTCACATAGCACTAACCTTAGATATAGTAAGAACAAAATAGTCTGTATTTCTCCTGTCATAGGTATTTCCCACATCATTAGAAAGGTCTAGAATGCAATGGAGAACACTAGTGATATAGTGTTTACAAAAAACTTCAGCTGCTAATTGGAAGTTCAGAAGTTCAAACCCATCCACTGCTTCACAGAAGAAAGAAGTGGTACTCTGCTTCCAGGAAGATTTACAGCCTTGGAAAACCTATGGGGCAGCTCTGCTCTGTCCTATAGGGTGGCTATGAATCCAAAAGATTTTGATGACACTGGGTTTTAGAATGTAGTGGAATTCCCATGTGATGTGGTGGCCATACATTTGGCTATTAAGAAAAAGTGGAGAGTTGATTTCAGAAAAATCAATCACTGAAAAAATCTTTGGATTGTACTTATTCTCTGATACACAGAGGTCTCCAAGAATCAGAATTGACCTCACTGCAATTGGTCATAAAAATACTATAATATCTGACTCTCTAAGGAGATTTGATGACTCAATGGTAAGGAATTTTGCTGTTAACCCAAAACTATGTGGCTCAATCACCATCTGCTCTGCAGGAGCAAGATGGACAATCTCTTCCCATGTCATTTACTGCCTCTGAACACTTGCTAGAGGGCCAGCTATGAGTTAGTTCCAACTCAATGATATACATAAACAACAAGAAGGTCAATGTTAAGGACTGTTTCTAGAGAGAAGCTCAAAGTTTCTACTTGGCTGAAGAGGATATAAAGGAGTGATGTCACACCTCTGAAGACTCTGGATCCTGGGGATATTTGGAATGTACTTTATAAGTATCTTGTGAGAAGGATGGGCAATCTCCTCCTGTGCGATTAACTGCCTCTGAGAATCTGCCAGATGGTCAGTTATGGGTCCATTCTGACTCTATGGTACACAATAACAACATATAATGTATAGTACAATATATAGCATATAGGTATACAATATACAGTATATGGTACAATATATAGTATATTGCACATACATAGGTAACTGCCAGAGGTTCAAGCAGGACTTAGAAGAGGCTATGGCACCCGGGCCATCATTGCTGATGTCAGATGGATTCTGGCTGAAAGTAAGGAATACAAGAAGCATGCCTACGTGTGCTTTATTGACTATGCAAAGTCATTTGACTGTGTGGATCATAACAAGTTGTGGCTGACATTGAGAAGAATGGGAATCCCAGAGGACTTAATTGTGCTAACACAAAATCTATACCTGGACCAGGAGGCTTTGTTCAAGGAGAGCAAGGGAGTACTGCATGGTTTAAAATTGAGAAGGGAGTGCATCAGGGTTGTATTCTTTCTCCACACCTATTCAATCTGTATTCTGAGCAAATTATCCAAGAAGCTTGATTCTATGAAGAATAGTGTAGAAACAGAATTGGAGGGAGACTTATAAAAAACCTGCATTATATAGATAATCATGCTTGCTGAAAGTGAGGAGGACTTGAAACACTTGTTGCAGAAGATCAAGGATTGCAGCCTTCAGCTTGGATTGCATCTCAATCAAGAAAACATGGGTTCTTACCACTGAACCAACAGCCAGCAGCATGAAGAATAGAGAAGAGATTGATACTTCAACAGCTTCTTCTTGCTTGGATCCACAATTAATGTCCTTGGTACCAGCAGACAGGAAATAAGGACATGTCTCACACAGGGATAATCTGCAGTTAGGGACCTCTCCAAATTATTATGTCAGTTTGAGGACTAATGTGCATTTAATCCAGCCCATTGTCTTTCCAATCACTTGCTAAGCATCTGAGAGCTGGACAATGAATAGAGATGACAGAGGAAGAATTGATGTCTTTGAGCTGTTGTGTTAGAACAGAGCACTGAACGTCCCATAGACAGTCAAAAAAACAAACTTGTCTTAGAAAGGGTAAAGCTGGACTGCTCTTTGGAGGCAATAATGATGAGGCTTCAACTTCATATACTTTGGGCATGTTTTTAGGAGGGGCTCTTCCTTGGAGAGGGACATGATGCTGGGAAGAGTGGAGGGTAGGTGAAGCAGCAGAAACCCCTTGACCAGGTGACTGCTGCAATGAGCTCTTGTATGTCAGGAAGTATGAGGCTGGCACAGGATAGAACAAGGCTTAAATATTTTGTTGATATGGTCACTATGAGTCATACTCAACTTGAAGGTACTTAACAACAACAACAACAACAACAACAACAACACAATATATAGTATAGTATATCTGTTTGAGACTATATACATACTCAGCCCATACTCTCCCTCAATTCTGAAAGAACAGAGAACAGTAAAATCACTTACCACTGGAGGCAAACACACGCAGAGCCCAAAGACAGTGAAGGAGGTTCTGGCTGTTGGATAGGTTTTTCCTGACCAGAATCAATGTTACATCAAGTGCCTCCAATTCCAGTGCCTTCTGTCCGAACTTTTTATCTAAGAAGACAAATAAACCAGTCTCAGTTTCACCTTACATTGATTCTAAAGTTTGTAAGGTGCATGGGGTATAGAAAGACGGGAGATGGAGGAAAATAATCATAGCCAAAAAACATTTTCAGACCTCATAGAAAGTGCTGATAAGTAAGTCTCAATGGAGCTAGATGACTCAGAAGAGCTAATTAGAGTTCACACATGATCCATCTTTCCTTCAGTAATGTTTAAATTAAGATTTGTTTGTTGTCTGACTCATAGACATCTATGTTTAAGAGATTTCTTTTCCTCATGCACACAAAAACTACAGTTTGCATATAAATTTCTTCTTTTAATATATTTCTAAAATACCACTGTTATAAAACAGAACTGACATGGGGATTAGGGTGAAAATGTGAAAAGAGGGGATAAATAATGTACACTGCATTGGAACAGATGGAAGAAAGAATTGTTTAAAAGGAATATATGATTAGGCATTATTTGTATAACAACAGTCTAGAATAGCATAGCAAAATATACTGGTGTGGGGTTGGGAGGGGGGAATTATGCACCAACGAATGAATATTGTTTTTTTAAAAGTGAACTGGGAGGAGGCTAAGGTGGAAAATATGCAACAATGAATAAATGAAAATCCAACTTTTCTGTAAATTTTTATTAAAATCACAAATAAAAACAAAGAGATACTTCTAAAATTCAGAATACATAAGTGACATGATATACAAATGCAATATGTCAACATCAAGTAAGTCTTTCTTCAACCATGTCTGTAAAAGATATGCTAAAACATGTTATTTGGAGAAACTTGGAATGAGTGTAAATTAATGTGTATTTTGTGAATTTTGCTGGATTTGTGATAATTGCAATGTGAACATACAAGAAAATATCTTTTCAAAGAAATGTAGTCTGAAGTATTTAGGAATACACTTCTGTCAGCATTGACTTTAAAATAAGAATAAGCCTGTGAATGACAAATAGTTTACACAAATCACCACATTCACTCTTAGACAAAGACTAGACAGCACTCAATAACTGTTACTGACTATACTAATCAAGGCCAGGGTGGATGGGTCCTAACAGAATGGGAGAAAATGTGGAAGAGAACATCAAATTTACACTGTCTTCAGAAACAGAAAAAAAAAAATAATCATACCTACTAGACTAAATGAGATTGGAATACTGTTGCCCTGAGATAAGCCTCAAACTTAAAACTAACACCTGAAGTCACCTTGTAGCTAAATAACAGATTGATTCAAAGAGTTTAGGTCAACCATTCAAATCCACTAGCAATTTCACAAGATAAATATGGGATGGTCGGCTTTCATGAAGATCTATAGCTTGGAGGCCTGTCCAGACATTTTGAGAAAGTTCCACTCTATTATAATTGAGTCTGAATTGACTATATAACAGTGGGATTAGAATTGGTTTATATATAAGGTCATCATAAGCAGCACGAGTGGCATCCACTTCCTAAACACCGTGCCTCTGGAAACTCTATGGCCGTTGATAAATGTTATTATAGAAAGGCTTCAGTCCTTTTATTCATAGGGTTGTTATGAGTTGTGCTTGACTCAACGGCAATCAAGAACCACATCATCATAAATTAGATACAACTTAATGGCAACCAACAACAGAGTCTCAGATGGTTCAAATGTTTAATGTGCTCTGCTGTTAACGTCTAACTACAAGGCCTATGGTTTGAGTATACTAACAGACTACCTGGGAAGAAAGACTTGGATATGAAGTTTAAAAAAATCAGCCACTGGAAAAAAAATCTATGGAACACACACAGCTCTATGTCAACCCACATGGAGTTATGACGAGCCAGAATCAATTCAATGGCAACTATGTCTGCCTCTGCCTCAGAGATTAGAAAACAGTAATTATAAAAATTTCAATTTTCAAGGTCTCACAGCTACCGAGATATGACTCTCAAGCTTATGCCATTTGCCACCAGGGAATCTCCTCCCGAGTTATTAACAGCCTCCGAAAACTCGCTGGAGGGACAGCAATCAATAGGTTCCAACTCGAGGCACTCAACAATAGCAATGTTTGCCTGAGCTCACATGTCCAGTTTTTACTCTCATTGCTTCTCATTCTTCAAGCTGGAACTCAAACTTTGTGACTATATCACCTTGGGGTAACATCATTCTTGGTTTCTCACACCAGGTTCATTACGTCCTGTTATCATCTAGTTAATTGCTCATTTACTATCAGGCCTTCCCAAGTTAAATATAATCATTGGGAGAGCAGGCCTCTTATTTATCTCCATTACTGTGGTATTCTCAATGCCTAGAGCAGTGTCTAGGGATCTCTGCTGGCCTAGTAGTAAGAAGCTGCACTGTAATCTTAAAGGTAGGCAGTTCTAATCCACCAGCTACTCTGTAGAAGAACTAGCAATCTCCTCCCATGCTGCCTCTGAAAACCCACTAGAGAGTCAGTTATGGGTTGCTTCCAATCCAGTGGCACACGACAACAACAAGAACAGTACCTGGCCCTTAAATGCATGCAGTAAAAACCATTGAATATTTAATGAGTAAATATTGATGGTTTTTGTCTAGGGCATACTTTGCTTTGCTAGTGCTGACAAATAAGGCCAAACCCATGATGGTCATAGGAGACAAAATGGGACCCAACTTAGAAGGGCTAGTCTATGGTATAAAGAGGCTGGCAAATACAGAAAGAAATGCACAACCAGGAGAGGAGAGCATCAGTAAATGTGACCTTCAAAAGATTAAGTTCCTATGTGCATCAAATTTTTTCCAATAGGGTGGAAATAAAGCCTACTGAGTGGTGGACAAACACCAAACATTTGGCAATGCCATTTCAGACAAAGGTTTCCACAAACATCTACAGAATTCTACAGGGTCTCTGCAAGAAAAAAACTGATTACAAAATGGGAAAAAGACATGGAAGACTTTTCACAGAGAAAGACATTTGGATTGCCAACAAACACATGAAGAGATGTTCAAAGTCACTGGCAAGAAGAGAGATACAAATAAAAATCACAATGAGATGCCATCCCACTCCAGTAGCAGAGATAAAGTTTAACAGGACAGCAAGAAAAAAATGTGGGAAAGGATGTGGACAGATTGGAACTCTTCACACACAGTTGAAGGGATTGTAAAATGGTATAAGCACTCTGGAAGACAGTTTGACATTACCTAATAAAACTGAACATAGAAATTCCATATGGTCCAGATATTCCACTGCAAGGACTGTATCTCAAGGAAAATAGAACCAAAACACAAACAAAGATTTGTACACTGATGTTCATAGCTGTGATAGTCACAATAACAACAAAATGGAAATAGTCAAATGTCCATCCAAAAAAAAAAAATAGATTGAGAAACCATGGTACATTCCCAGAAGGAAATACTATGCAACACTCAGAAGCAAGTAAATTGAAAAATACTGCATAACATGGGAGCATTTGAAGAACATTATGCTGAGTAAAAGAACTCAGTCTCATAAGGACAAATACCGCATATGGCCATTATTATAAAAGTAGAAGGATTACTAGTAAAATGTATGCAAAAGTCCAAAGGAGGGAAGAAGGAGCTGAGAATGGAGTGGGGAGAGATCTTGAGTTCATAGAGTTATAGAGGAAGAGGGAGAGGTTGAAGGAATTAGGAAATGTCCAGTGGGAATCTGAAAAGGTGAGGTAATGGTGGGCATGGATCAATGGTGATTAATTTTATTAAACAAAATGTATGGAAATGATCTTATAGGAAACAAGGTGAATAGAGGAATACTTGAAACACAATATATATAAACAAAATACAAAGTATAAAAATTCTGTAGGCAAACCAATACAAAATACAAATTTTAAAAAAATTTGGTTTTCAATAATTATATTTGAATTGCTGAATGTGCTCAAAAAAGATGGAAATATTGAAAGGCAAAAATGTTTCAAAGCCCTTATAACTTTGGCTGTAACTCCCAGCACTAGATATCAAAAAGTCTACCTTTGAGAAATGTCATGTTTCTCTATCATGACACATATAATGCTGTGAACCTGTTGCTGTTGTTGTTAGGTACTGTTGAGTCAACAGCTCATGGAAACACTATTACAACAAAAGGAAATTTGCCCTTTCCTGTACTATCCTGGTAGTCCCTGCTCCACCGAAGCTTACTGTTGCAGCCCCTGTGTCAATCAATCTTGTTAAAAATATTTTTCTTTTTTTACCCTTTACTCTTTAAAACATGCTATCTTTTTTTTTTTTTTTCAGGATCTGGTCCCTCCTACTAACACACCCAAAATATTTGAGACAAAGTCTCACCATCCTTCCTCTAAAGAGCATTCTGACTATATTTCTTCCAAGTGCACATAATTAGCATCTAATAAATATTTTAGTAGTTTGTAATGTTCTCAGGAGTTCTCAGTATACAGATCTTTAAACCTCCAGGAAGGTCTAGAGTTTTTAAAAAAGATGTTTCAGGATCTTCTGTGAAGAAAGATATATGAGAATGGAGCATAAATAGGCATTGCTTCAGGTTCTCAAATTCTTTTCAACTAAGGTTTTCTCTCCAAAGACTAGAGTCCTTATGAAAAGAAGAGAGAATATAGACATGTAGAGTAAAATGTCATGTGACATCAGAGGCAAATTTGGCACAAACTAAGGATTTCCTGAAACCACCAGAAACTTAGAGAAAGAAATGGAACAGATTCTCTTTCAGAGCTTGCAGAAGGTTTGAACTTGTTAATACCTTAATTTCACACATCTAGCCTTCAGAACTGTGAGATTAAATTTCTATATTTTAAGCTTCCCAGTTTATGATATATTTTTAACAACAGACCTAGAAAACTAATACTTACATATAATGTCTATATGATATAAAAGTATATTTAGAGACAAGTTCTATTTTTTTTAAATGATTGAAAGTTGCCTTGGGGTATCTCTCTTCTTTATCCATATGACCAATGTTACAAGAAGCATACACCTTCTCTGGGCTCTGTCTTAAAGCACCATACTTTGGGTAAACTGACAGGAAAATTATCTCTCTACATGTCTAGTTCTATAATCATCCAAATGTCCTCGACATGTTTCTTCTTCTCTGTACTTTAGCACATGAGATCCCCAAGTCACTGTCATAATAACACCTCAGTAATCTATCAGTCACCTTCTTGGATCTGAAAGCATGGGTACCTCTTAGGCCAACCTTGGCCAACAGCCGGAAGAGAGGAAGGAGGATGTCATAATCTGGGGAAGACGTCCGAGCTGTGTCCACCAGGGTTTGCAAAAGGGCTTCACTTCCACCCTTGCTGATCATGTAGTGAATCCTCCGGTCTGTGCCTGAATTAGAATCAGAGAATCAACCACAAGCAGTCATCTTCATTTACCTTAGAGGCAGAAGTCACAACTAGAGGCAGAAAGAGGAATGATTCATCCCAGAATCCAAACTTGTGTAGTTCTTGAAGCAGTGTATGTTAAAATTGAACTCATAAGTAATTAGGAGAAAGATGCGTGTGATGTGGAAGTGATGGTATATTTAAGAACTTAGATGAATTTAGGGAGTACTGGTGGCCTAATGGCAAGAAGCTGCACTGCATTCCCAAAGGCACATAGTTCAAATCTACCAGCTGCTTTGTGGGCGAAGGATGGGCAATCTCCTTCCATGTGATTGGCTGCCTCTGAAAACCCACCAGAGGGTCAGCTTTGCGTCAGTTCCAACTCAACAGTACACAACAACAACAGATTAATTTACCTGTGTCAGCTATAGATAGTAGCACCTTTCTGAAAATTTATTGCAATCTTCAGTATGTGTATGTGTACATGCATAAAAATATGCATATGGGAATATATAAAATTATATACTTAATGGAAGAGGAAACTTCAGTATCCCTCTGTTTATCTGAATAATCTACAACGGAGATTGGATTGATGGCTTATTTTAGATCATTCTTCTATCAGCACAATGATGTTTTGGTGCTGGTTTTTAATAATTTATGGTAGTTAAATTTATGAGAGTGAAATTGGAGCAATACCTTGGAAAACAAATGCATAACCATTCTGTCTAGAGAGTTGAGAAGAGGCTAGTGGCTAGGATGAATCATTGCTCTTTCTAGCTAATCAGCTTATAACATGAAGTTCATCTTGACACATCATAAGCTCAAAAGACATAATAACGTGTCTGGGAGGGATCCTGGGTGATGCTGCATGGACAGGGCGCACTTGATCTAACCAAAGAGAACTGTCAAGTGGGACATTATCCGTAGAAAACATCCTTTAATATTTTAGTATCAAAGTAACACCTGGTACCAAAGAAATCATTATCACTCCCTGTTCTGTATCAGAACAATAATTTTAAATTTTCATTCTAAATATTTCAGGTCACTCTGGGCAAACTAAGGAGTCCCCAGATGTAGCATATGGTTAATGTGTTCAGTTGTAAACTCTAGCCCATCCAGAGTCTCCTCAAAGATAGGTGTGGCTATCTAATTCTGAAAAATCAACAGTTCAACTCCTGTGCAGTTTAGCTTTCAATATGACTTTTCCTAGCAATTATTTGACTTTGCTATGCAGATGAGGATCAGCATCAGGATGGATGGTGAAGAGATTGAGATTGTTCACAGCTCTAGTTTGCTTGGCTCCACAGTCAACAGTCTTGGCACCAGTAGCCAGGAAATTAGAAGGCACATTGCGATGGGAAAGTCTGCTGTTAGGGACCTCTCCAAAGCACTAAAGAGCAATGGTGTCTCTCTGGAGACTAAGGTGCATCTGATACAGGCCATGGTCTTTGCAATCACTTGTTATGCATCAGAGAGTTGGAAAATGACCAAGAAGGATAAAAGGAGAATTGATGCCTTTGAGCTGTGGTGCTGGAGAAGAGTATTGAGAGTACCATGGACTGCTAGGAAAAGAAACAGATTCATCCTAGAAAGGGTTAAGCAGGGTGGCTCCTTGGAGGCAAGGATTCTGAGGCTCTGTCTAACATACTTTGGACATGTTGTGAGGAGAGACCGGTCCTTGGAGAAGGACATCATGCTTGGGGGGGTGGAGGGACAGCGCAAGAGGGGAAGGCCCTCTATGAGGTGGATTGATTCAGTGACTGGGATAATTGGGATTGGAGTGTCAGAGACAGTGCGATTGGCACAGGACAGAGCAGAGTTTAGGGCTGTTGTACATAGGGTCGCTATGAATTGCAAGTGACTCAACGGCACATAACAACAACATACAGATGAGTGGGAACATGTGAAAGGAGTGTGTTAGACTATCCACAATGGGATTGACTACCTACCATTCCACGAGGGGTTTGCTTAGTCTTAACAATATACAAGGGGATTGGCTAGTCTTGTCATTGAATTGAACAAGACAGCAGAGAGAGGCAGAAAGATTTTCTGGTGCCATTGAACTAGAAGCAAGAGAATGTGGGATGTCTTTCTTGCTCTAGCTATGCCTACAGCAGCAACACCTAAGTAGTAATGTCTATGGCCTAACTGGAGACCTGAAATGAGATGGGACATTTGAGATAGGGGAGAGCCAATATTGGTAGGACTGAAAACGTCATTTGACAACAAGGTGTGGGAAACCAATATTGGAAAGATTGAGAGAACATGGAAGCATTAGATGAAAGTAGTGAGGATCGAGGCTAAGGTGCCAGTGTGTACATTTCGGGAGCTGTCTTGATTGCACTGTGTTATTAATTTGTATTATAAACTTTTACTTCCCTAACATAGTTCTGTGTGGTCTGTGAGTTATTGCATTGGATTTTTGAACCCAGAAAAGCATTAAGCTTGGTGTTGAGATGAGTAGAAAGAGGTATAGGAGCATGGGGGAATGTGTCTAACCTCATGGGAATTGATTTTGTATTATTAATGCTGTGAATGAGGACAGTTACTCTTTGTGAAGTTGGTAAAGGTCAGGTCTGGCCATTTCCACATGGCCCTGGCTCATTTTACAAAACTTCGGAGTACACTTCTACTGTGGCACAGATGGAGTAGCCATGATTTGGAACCAACTCAACAGCAACTGGTATGGACAAACTGAAGATAGCACTAAATCAGAAGACAGCTAGACCCATTGAAAGAAGGTAGTTCACTGAGTAGATGTTAGTGAATTATCCTTCCAGAAAAGGACAGCACAGCCTATGAAAAAACCCAATATAAATTAATCCTACCTTGGTAGTACTGAGGTTGAAGCACTAAGCTATTAACCCAAAGGTCAGTATTTTGAAACTACTCACCACTCTCTTAAAGGAAGATGTGCCAAGATTCTGCTTACAACCTTGGAAACCTTATGGGATGGTCCTATAAAATTCTTGTGAATTGGAATCAACTCAATGGCAGTACATTTCTGCTGAAACTATAATTCTGAGGCTTTGTAACTTTGAAGTGTCATTAATTTATAATGGCAGTTATGCTTTTCTTTCTTATGTACTGTCTGTGGCTAGCATACATATAAATTAAAACTGAGTGAATATTAGAATGACCAAGTGAATGTTGGAAAGTCCCAGCAAGAACATGTTCAAGTTAACTCAGTTGAGTTCATTGTATCTAACTTTTTCATCTGACCTCTGAAGATCCAATAACTTTCAGACTTGCAAGTCTCTCTCCATCTTGTGATCCTTTTTCCATATTGCATATGCTACTACCTGGTACTCTACATGATTCAGAGAAAGAGGAGAGGAAAGAACGCCTACAAATTAATTATCATTGAGAAAAGAAGCAGAGGTGAGAACAGGTCCAGGTGGTCTTTGGCCCTGTTGATGATAAACCATAGAATTACCACTCCAGAGTTTACTTTTCTGATAAGGTTGAGCCATTGAAAGGTAAGTGATAAGTTCAAAGATTCCATTGTATGTTGAGCCAATTAATTTAAGTCTTATTAACTTTAGGAGAAAATAAAAAGCTGGCCTAGTTATTCTGGTTTCCAGAGGAAACTTAAGAAAATAAAACATTCAGAGGTCTCAGGTTCCTATAAGTGTTTACAGCCAGTGTAGAACACATCCACCAAGTGAGGGGATAAGGGAATAGGTCTACTTACCAACAGAAAGCAGATCACCAAGGACCTGGAGGATGGTCAAGATGGACTCTCTGTCTGAAGAGTTCTGAAATGAGAATGCAGGAAGTCAACTTTCAAAAGAATTCAAGAGGAGGGATGAATTCTGGTCATAGAGGCGCAGAAAACGACAGCCTTGTGATCTTCTTTACGTAATAATAATGAGGAGCCTCTTTGAGATGTAAGGGTTCCAGAGACTTTGACTACATATTCAGGAGCCTACTTTATGGACTCATCATAGTGACAACCACAAAACGGGCAAAAGTTCCACCAGATGATATGCTGGAGAAGGAGGGACAATCTCTTACTGTACCAGTCAGATCTGATTTGACGGTACATGCACAAAAATTTTTTTAAAAAAATGGTCAAAAGTGTGAGCACTGACAGTGTACTTGTGTATAAGAAGTGGATGGGATGTGGAGGCAGCCAAGTCTGACACTTCTACCTGCTTCATAAAGGAAGCTTTCCCCATCAATAATATCTACAGTACCATACACATAGCTACATAGTCAGATATGCCCCCCCATACTCCTGCACCTTTTATAATCAATCATTGAGTCCATTTTAAAATTTGTTACAAGACTTACAGACTTGACTCACAGTTGTGGAGTTTGTTAGGGAACTAGATAGGAGACTGGAGGAGTCAAAGAATATCTCACAATGCAAGTCCAGGTTTAGTCTAACAGTCCCAAGCCAGATTAACAAACAGCAAGACATAATTCTTGAATTAGTGAAAGTTCGAGTTCCAGTTCAGCAGTAAAAATACAAGAAGCTCCTGTTTCCTCAATTATCCTGCAAACTTTATCTCAGAGCAGTTATAAGTTACGTTTTACAGGTTTCTGTTCAGCAAGGAAAACTTTTAACTGTGGCTATATCATCAAATTTCCTCTGGTTACATCTTGCCACAGTCTCTTCACCTTCTCTCCACCACCATAATCACCAGGGTACCTCACAGTATAGAAAGTCCCCTCTTTTGCATTGGTTCCACAGCTGTTGATTTATTTGCAAGACCATGTGTCTGTAGTTAAGGTTCCTGAAGATTATACTTCTCTTACAACAGGGGCTAATGGCTAATGCAATGGCTATAAAAGCCAATTTTTAGGGATTCTGACACCGCATATGGAGATAATGAGATGAAAGGGGCTTTATAAACCAAGAAAACTCAGGTTTCACAGTTGTTTCAGTAAGCTTGGATTTTTTCAGTTTTATTTTCATTTACTTGTTCTATTACAAATGTAAACATCTGGACATATATTCAATAGTTTTTACATG